ATGGATTAAAAATAAGTTAGTAAATATTTTTCTTATGTTTTTGAAAACAATTTTTAATTTAAATATATTTTAATCATATTCTGTTCCTTTCTTATATCTCTCCATATCAGCTCCTCCTCCCTACTCACTCATCTTTAAGTTTTTTCTCAAGGAAAAAAAAAATAATGATACAGCAACAAAAGCCCTCCAAACCAAGAAAACAACATTTTAAAAAAAAGAAGAAGAAGAAAAGAAGGAAGGAAGGAAGGAAGGAAGGAAGGAAGGAAGGAAGGAAGGAAGGAAGGAAGAAAGAAATAGGCTAGGGTCAGATAGAAAGGGAGGAGGTCCTCCCCTTATCAGTGGACTAGGGGGAGGAAAATAGGGGAAGAAGAGGAAGGGAGGGTGAGATTGAGAGGAGATGAGGGAGGGGGCCACAGCCAGAATACAAAGTGAATAAGCTGTAATAAAGAAAGAAAGAAGGAAAGAAAGAAAGAAAGAAAGAAAGAAAGAAAGAAAGAAAGAAAGAAAGAAAGAAAAAAGAAACAAAGAAAGAAAGCGTGGTTATTAAACGGTAACCAAATACAAGCAAGCAGAAAAAAATGTGGAGTCCATTATAGGTTCCTCAACTAGACCTAAACACTAGACCTGCCCTGGAGTGGTTAATATACTCAATGTTACTCCAGTGGAGAAAATTGATATCAACTCTTTCAGTAGGTATAAATGATTTTTCAGTTGTTAACATTTACTCTTCTGTCTAGGTTTCATTCATTCATTCATTCATTCATTCATTCATTCATCTCAAAACCATAACAAAATAAAATATAAGGAAAAAAACCCTACCACATATAAATTGGACAAACAAATCAACAAAAGGAAAAGAGTCCAAGAGAAGGAAGTCTTTTTAAAAAAATATTTTATTTATTCACTTTACAGTCCTATAGATCTACTCCCCTGCTAGAACCTCCAAACAAGCTGAAGGTAAATCTTTTATTTTTAAACTTAAATTCTTTTAAGATTTTTCAAACTTCATCCGTGAGGACTGTATCTGTATTGCCACCATCTCTCTCAAACACCTTCCTTTCTCTATCTCCCAAATTCATGGGCTCGTAACAATTGTTACATGTGTACGCACATGTATGCAAATGTGTGTAGTGTTCTCTTTATTTTTATCATCCAAAGAGATTTTACTTCAATTGAAAAACTGCACTGAACCAGATGCAGTTTGGCCTGTCAGCAAACCTGTGGGTATATTTTACTCATTATTATGTGATGTGAGATGGCAAATCCCACTGAGCATGAAGTTGCTTTTAGCAAGTTGTCCGAGGCTGTGTAAGAAAGCAGGCTGCCCTTTATGGCAAGCCACTAAAGCAGCTCTCCTCTATAGTGTGTGTTTCACTCCCGCCTTCTGTCTCCTGCCTCAGCTTCCCAGGATGATAGACTAAATCCTGTAAGCCAAATAAAAACCTTCCTCTCCAAGTTGCTTTTGATCTTGGTTGTTTAATCAGAGCCAGAGAAAGCAAATTAATTCAGTTAATATCTTTATGCAACGTATAGATTCCATTTAACATTGCACTTAAGAATATGTGTTCAGGGATGACCACTGGAATTAGACATCCCAATAAGGATTGTGTTCATAAATGAATAGGAGTTTCCCTCAGTAACCATCTACTACATGCATTATTTCATCTAGGTGTAGGACCATTTGGAATTTCCCCTTTCTGTGTTGGTATGTTTTCTCTGCATACCAGTAATAGACAGCTTGAGTCCTGGGCTCTAACAATCTTTCATTTCTCCTGCACCTTTTGTATAGGGTAGCATTGCAGATATTCCAGATGGGAGGTGAGCACCCCACAGTTCCTTAGTCTCTACAAGTGGAACAATTAAAGCTTATTCACACACCCACAAATATACATATTCATTTATTTATTTATTTATTTATTTATTTATTTATTTATTTATTTATTTATTCTCTTTACATCCCACTCATAGCCCTCTACCTCCTCTCCTCCTGGTCCCCACCTTACCTCTGTCTTCCCTCATCCCTCCTTCCATATTCCTCAGAAACGGGGACTCCTCCCACCCACTCCAGTTCAAGTGGCATCTGGACTGAGCTCATTCTCTTTCCCTGAGGCCTAGTGAGGCCTAGTGAGGCAGCCCTAGATTGCTGGGGGGGGCAATGAAAAAGCAGGCAATAGTATCCCTATCAAAATCAGCCCTGGCTCCCTCTGCAGGGAGAGCAGCAGCGGTCAGTGAGCAGCAGCAGGTGAGTCCCACCTGAACCCTGAGCTGCCCATCTGCTGTAAGGACTGATAACCACAATCATCTCTGGGTATAAATATAGGCATTTAGAATATATTTGAAATTTATATTGGTTTAAGAAATTGGCCACAGGAGGTTCTCGTCCCAGATCTGTAATTTCTCCAGTTGTAGGTAGTTGGCTAGGTTTACAACACTAGGTATAAATTTCTTCCTGTTTGATTCAGCTTAATTCCAATTAGAAAACATTGGTTACCCCAAAGATAAAAGTTCCGCTATTGTACCACTGAGGTTATTTTGATAGTCTAGTCATTTTGATTCCTAGGATGTGCAGCTTCATAAGACTACAGATTGTTTCTCTCTGTGGTTTGTGTAATACCTTCTGCTTTTGTTTGAGAGCCAGTCCCAAAGGAGAAGGCTCCCAGTTCAAACTGATTTCTCTGTTTTCAAGGTAGATGAAGTCTTCAGCAATATGATCTTGTCTTTAAGTTCAGGAAGAAGCCAAGGACAACAGCAATGAACCTAGTGCCCAAAGACAAGATTGCAGGATATACTGATCTCAACAATTTCTGAATTGAGGTTCTTTTTCTAAGGGAACCTGGTCTGTGTCAAGCTGACAATGAAAACTAATCAACTTGTACGCTTGTATACCTTTTAAAATTAAAAAACAAAAACAGATTACATTGACTTACTCAAATCTCCATCATTGTACAAATTTTTTCAAAAAGTCATTGCATTTAAAAGAATCTGATCTCCTGGAAGTTGGTAGATGATCCCTTATTGATTCTCAACAATTACGACACAAGCGTCCTACGTCTATACTGTCTATACTCACAGTTATCTAGAAGATTGTTTGTTTTAAAAACAAGTCACAACCAATTTCTGAACAATGAAAAACTTTTGTTATTGTAGTTTTCATTATTATTATTGTTAATTATTATTATTTTCAATTTATTAACTTTGTATCCTGATTGTAGACCCCTCCCTCATTTCCTCCTGGTCCCACTCTCACTCCCTCTTTCTTCCTTATCCCTCTGTCCTAGTGATAAGAGAATTCCTTCTACCCTTCTGTCTGTCTCTACTTATTATACTTATTCCGAATAGGCAATGAATTAAAATTCACATATCAAAAAGATCATTTAAAATCTTCTAAGGGTTTTTTCCTGTGACCTACCCCAATCTGCTGACCCAGAGACCAGCAGGGACCAGTGAGCAGCAGCAGGTAAGACAACCCTTGCCCTTGCCCTTGCCCATCTACTGGCCTGCTACAGCCAGGAAGCAACGGTGGCAAAGTCTGCCCTGGGCCTTCGTGCTCCACATTCTCTGTGTTTCCCACACAGCAGTTCCAGGTCCTGCACCATTTTCAGCTACCCACCCTGATCTGTGGCCCCAGAGATCAGCACAGCTCAGTGAGAACCAATGTGAAACAAGGAGCAGCAGAACAGCATGTATCAAGGAGAGCAGGAAAGCCAGTGGACTGAGGCCATCTAGGACCAAGATCTCTACCTACAACCCCAGAGACATAATACCATCAGAGACCACGATGCCTATTAATGCCAAAGTCCACCAAATGGCTACAGGTCAGTGCAAGAACACAAGCAACAAAACCCGGGTATCCTACTACAGCAAGCCAAGAAACACAAGAAAACAATCTTAAATTTGATCTTAAAATTGAGGTTATAAGCATGATTGAGGCCTTAAAAGAAAAAATAAATAAATAAATCTCTGAAAGAAATGTAATATAACCAAAGAAAATATAACCAAACAGGTAAAGGAACTGAATAAACCCTTTAAAGAAACACAGGAAAATGCAATAAAAACTGTGAAAGAATTGAGTAAATCCCTTAAAGAAATAGAGGAAAATACAACCAAATAGGAGAACAAAATAAATAAAACTGTCCAAGACCTGAAAATGGAAATAGAAAATAAATAAAGAAAACAATATGAGGCAATCCAGGAGATGGAAAACCTAAGGTAGAGAATAGGAACTACAGATACAAGGATCTATAATGGAATACAAGAAATGAAAGGGGGAATCTCAGGTGTAGAAGAAACGATTGAAGAAGGAGAAACATCAGTCAAAGAAAACGTTAAACCTAAAATGTTTCTGACACACATCCAAGAAACCTGGGACAACTCAATACTCGTTGACAGCTGGGTCAGGGAAGAAATAAAGAAAGAAATTAAAGACTTTCTAGAATTCAGTGAAAATGAAGACACAACACACCCAAACTTATGGGACACAGTGAGAAGAGTGCTAACAGCACTGAAAGCCTTCATAAGAAAAATGACAAGAGCTCATACTAACAATCTAACAGCTCACCTGAAAGCTCAGAAAGGAAGGAAGGAAACACAATCAAGAGGAGTCAAAGGAAGAAAATAATCAAACTCAGGGCTGAAATCAATAACCTAGAAACAAAGAGAACAATTCAAAGAAACAACAAAACCAGGAGCTGGTTCTTTGAGAAAATCAACAAGACAAACAAACCTTTAGCCAAAATAAATAAAAGACAAAGGAAGAATATCCAAATTAATAAAATCAGGAACAAAACGGGGAATATAACAAGAGACAACAAGGAAATCCAAAGAATCATTAGCTCGTATTTCAAAACCCTGTAGTCCACAAAATTAGGAAATCTAAAGGAAATGGATGATTAGATACCACTTAACAAAGTTTAATCAAGATCAGGTTACAATTGAAATAGACCTATAGCACCTAAAGAAATATAAGCGGTCATCAAAAGCCTCCCCAAAAAAGAGCCCTGGTGCTCACTTCGGCAGCACATAGGCTAAAATTGGAACGATACAGAGATTAGCATGGCCCCTGTGAAAGCATGACACACAAATTCATGAAGCTTTCCATATTTTTTAAATCATGAAAATTGTGGACAAATGGTGGGATCTAGAAAAGAGCATCTTGAGTGAGGTATCCCAGAAGCAGAAAGACATACATGGTATATACTCACTTATAAGTGGATACTAGACATATAACATAGGATAAACATACTAAAATCTGAACACATAAGGAAGCTAATCAAGAAGAAACACCCTGGGTAAGATGATTAATCCTGAGTCAGAAAGAAAAATGGGATGGACAGTGGAAGAAGGAGAAAACAGGAAACAGGACAGGAGCCTATCACAGAGTGCCTTTGAAAGACTCTACCCAATAGGGTATCAAAGCAGAGGCTGAGATTCATAGCCAAACTTTGGGCAGAGTGTAAGGAACCTTATGAAAGAAGGAAGAGATAGAAAGACATGAAGGGGACAGGAGCTGCACAAGGAGAGCAACAAAACAAAGAAATCTGGGCCCAGGGGACTTTTCTGAGACTAATACTCCAAACAAGGACCATGCATGGAGATAACCTGGAACCCCTGCACAAATGTAGCCCATGGCAGCCTAGTCTCCAAGTGGGTTCCATTGTAATGGGAAGAGGGACTGTCTTTGACATGAACTCAGTGACTGTCTATTTGATCACCTCCTACTAATGGGGGAGCTGCCTTATCAGGCCACAGAGGAAGACAAGCAGCCAGTCCTGATGAGACCTGTTAGGCTAGGGTCAGATGGAAGGGGAGCAGAACCTCCACACTCATTGAACTTGGAGAGGGGCATGGAAGGAGATGAGGGAGGGTGGGAGGGTGGGATAGGGAGGGAATAAGGATGGGGGCTACAGCTGGAGAACAAAGTGAGTAAACTGTAATTAATATATAAATATTAAAAATTAAAAAAAAAATTAGATTTAAAAAAAAAGAGCCCTGGACCAGATTGTTTTTGTACAGAATTCTACCAGACTTGCTTTTTTATTATTTATTTATTTTTATTTATTACAATTTATTCACTTTGTATCCCAGCTGTAGCCCTCTCCCTTGTCCCTTCCCAATCCCTCCCTCCCTTTCTCTTCTCTTTTCATCCCCCTCTCCCAGAACACTGATAGAGAAGGTCCTCCTCTCCTTCCATCTGACACTAACCTATCAGATCTCATCAGGACTGGCTACATTGACTTCCTCCATGGCCTGGAAAGGCTGCCCATCCCCTTACATCAGGGGGGTAGGTCATCAAAGAGCCAGCCACTGAGTTCATGTCAGTGACAGCCCCTGATCTCCTTACTAGGGTACCCACTTGGAGATGGAGCTGCCATGGGCTATATCTACCAGAAATTCAAAGAAGAGCTAATACCAATACTCCTCAAACTATTCCACTAAATAGAAATAGAAGGAACATTTCCAAAATCATTCTATGAGGCCATAATCACCCCAATAGCTAAACTACACAAAGACCCAACAAAGAAAGAGATTTTCTGATCAATCTCCATTATGAACACTGATGCAAAAATACTCAATAAAATACTTGCAACCCAAATCTAGGAACACATAAAAAATATAATCCACCATGACTAAGGAAGCTTCATCCCAGGAATGCAGGGGTAATTCAACATATGAAAACTGAAAGGGGGAAAAAATGATCATCTCATGCTGAAAAGGCCTTTGACGAAATCTCACACCCCTTCATATTTAAAGTCTTGGAGAGATCAGGGATACAAGGCACATAACTAAACATTATAAAGGCAATATACAGCAAGCCAATAGCTAACATCAAGTTATATGGAAAGAAACTTAAAGTGATCCCACTAAAACCATAAAATTGTTAGAATATATTAATCAATAAAAATTATATGTATCCAAGTTGTTAAACTCATTAGATACATGTAGACTTTGTGAACTATTCACTAAAATTGAGATCATTCATGTGCCTATCATGTTACATAATTGCCAGTATTTTACAGGGCAATTCAGATAAACAAATGTGATGCTATCACCGATAGTCACACTGTTATTTCCTATAACTCTCAAACTCGCCTTACACAGCAGAGACATTGTGGCCCCTTATCAAAATTTCAACATGTTCCTCTCTGTGCTCTGGGAATGTGATCCTAACCATTTCATATTTTTTCAAGACATATATTTTTGGAATCCATGAATAAGTGAAATAATGCAGATTCTTTTCTTTCTATATCTTCTGTACTATCCTCTGTGGCTCACACTATCCTCTGTCGTTCATCTAGGGTGACACTAGCCATAAAGATTTTCTTTCTTTTTAATGGATGAAGGCTATTGCATGATGTATGTGAGATTAACTTCTAGGGTTTTTCGTTTTTTTTTTAAATGGGGGTAATAGTCTGTGTATAACAGTTAAGGTAGTTAAGGTACTGTTTTATATGGTATACACTGAAAAATGGCAAAAAGAATATGGTAGTGCAGATATCCCTTCAACGTTTTGTTTCTTTTCTTCTTGATATTTATCATATGAGACATCTAAGTATGCTGATAATAGAACTAGGGATGTGCTACTAAATTCACGCATAAACATTATCATCTCGCCTGTAAAAAGCACATTTTTCTGGACAATATGGAAGTTTCTTTTTCTTTCTGATAGTTTATTTATCATGTTTTGTCACATGATTAACAAACTAAAAGTTAATATTCATGTTGTTTACCTGTTTTTCTTAAACTGATTATTTTATTTATCCCTTCTTTTAAAACGTCGTGATTCATGCCACACATTAAAACGGATGATTTTATGCATTTTATGATATTTGAATAAAATGAATACTAAAATATAAGCTTCTGAAATGTATTATTAAAATTCTGAAAGATGGCTGATCAAGTGAAAGTTTTTTTTATTTTTATTTTTTTTAATTTTATTTTTCTTTTTAGTTACATTTTGTTAACTCTGTGTCCCAGCTGTATCCCACTCCCTCATTCCCTCCCCAACCCCACACTCCCTCCCTGGTCTCCTCCCTGCCCCTTTCCAAGTCCACTGATAGGGGAGGACCCCCTCCCCTTTCATCTGACCCTGTTTTATCAGGTATCTTCAGGGCTGGCTGCAAAGTCCTCCTCTGTGGCCTAACAGACTGCTCCTCCCCTGGGGGGGGGGGGTGGCCAAACAGCCTGCCCTTGAGATCCTGTTAGAAATAGTCCGTGTTCCCCTTACTTTGGAAAACTACTTGGTTACTGAGTTACCACGGGCCACATCCGAGCAGAAGTTCTAGGTTATATCCATAGATGGTCCTTGGTTGAGTGTCAGTCTTTACTAAGATAATTTTAGCATATAATTCTTCCTAAAAGTCACTTAAAAATCAGCATGCCAAAAAAGTGATGAAAATACTGTCTATGAAGGATATCAGAGAACCAAAAGTAAATGACCAATACTTGAAAGTATATTGAGATTCTCCCCTCATTTAGTTACCAGATCAGAAAATAGTCTAAAAATGTACCTTATATTGGGGACAATAGCGTGAATATGATTCATTAAATAGATTTAGATACCAAATTTATGAGTGCACCTCCAAATCTATCCCTGCAGTTTTTAGATTAGCTACTTTATTTCTTTGTATTTTCTTTAAATATAATTAAAATGTAAATGTAAACAATCAAGCATTTTGAGTGAGATCTGCTATATAACTTTAGCTTTCAAACATAGAGTCTATGGCAAGTAGTATCAGTATAAATAGACAAAATTTATTAATATAAATGTTAAAATATTAGATGAAGTAACATGAGAAAAATGGCAAATATGTAACTTGAAAATATTCCCCATGTTAAATCAAGTTGATTCAAACAGGGGTAGCATGTAACGTTCTCCAACTTACAGAGGAGGATAAAGAAATGTCACTTTGAGCCCAGTAAAAATTCCTTAACAAAGACAATTAATAATTTCTAAAATTATTGAGTCTTACAAAATCTTGATGATATAACAAAATAATAATTATCATTATCAATTTTTGCATACAAGTTTATATGCCTTGAACACAGAAAGTATTCACCAAGAGGAGGTAATTCAAAGATGATAAACAGATATTAGCAAGGATCTGATACGTAATATTCTTAAAGAAACAAAAGTCATCATTGGTCACATAAACTAGATCTATTCTTCTCTAGTGTATAAAAATTTCCTACTTAAAGATGTGAATGGCATCAATATCAGAAAGCATTTCTCTAAAGCATCAGAAATATTTGTCTAGAAAGTGGAACTTAGAATCATTTTTACTTTATTGAATCTCAGTTTCAGTATTTGATAATTTTAAGATAACCAGGTTATCCTGACACTGAGAAATCAATGTTAAAACAATTTTAATTTGCAGAATTTATTGGGAGATTCAATCAGAAATTTTATTTGTGACTAAATTAGGGGCCTGAAAATATAGAATGCTGTTCCTCACTATGTATTTATAAATTATAAGTAGGAACTAGAGGTAAGTGTACATGATCAGATGAAAGCTGAAGTAAAGGGGGTATAGGAAGGACTTCCTTACTTGAGAGTACTGGATGCTTCTAAACTTCATAATCTGGGTATTCCTATTTTAGAGCTAAGTTTATAAAAAATACTGAGGTTTTTTTTTTTTTTTTTTTGGTTAATATATTTTGGAAGTTCTATGCAGTAGTAGTTCAATTATTCTACTTTTAACCTCTTTTCTCTGTCTTCTTTTTTAATTATATCATGACTGAAATATTCTTTAAGTCTTTCCACTTAGAAATCTGTGCTTTCCAAGGTTTATTTTTTTCTTCCTGAAGGCAATCTCTGTGTAATTTTCTTTAGAGACTGTTCTACTTTTCTTTCTCCTAAACTCTTGACTCCATTTTTTTTTTTTTTTTTGGATGCTTGATGCCTAATAGGCTTTGCTGTTTGAGATTACTGTTGTAGACTTTTACAAATGTCTCCAGAGACCATGACCCATGTTTTCTCATCATTAATGGAAATCCTTCTCATTTGAAGCAGTTTTTACCGTGAGTTTTTGTGTGCCCATATAAAATTTGCATTTAGAACACTGTGATCCCTCTCTATCCCTTTGGAATTAACATATATTGAGCATG